TGCGTGCGCATATTTTTAACGGGAATTAAAAATGGCGTCCACCCCGCAGCGAATGCGTCGCTACCCGTTGCCAGGGGCAACCGCCGTGGAAAACCAAACGGACCAATCACGTCTCGCAAATCCCTCACATTTCGTCCAATGAAACTGCGTATGGTCCGGCGACACACAGACAGACAGACAGATTTGCGATTTTATATATATAGATGGGTGGTTGGGGTGTGTAGGCATGGTGAGTGGTGTGTGATTGGTGCGGAGTGGTGGGTGAGTGAGGATTGGGTGTCATGTGACGAATATGTGTTGAGGGCTGGAGAATGTCACGAGACCTCGATTCATCCTCAAACACGATCCTTGATTCATCCTCAATTCATCCTCAAACATGATCCTTGATTCGGAATCAGCAGCGAGGACCTCGTCTGCTCAGCGCCTCTCTCCTCTCGTCCAGTATCCTCGGAACTCACCAGGAATTCATCACAGCAACTCAATTGCCCCACCCTGTCCTTGGTGTTTTAATCAGTCTTCTTCTTTCGAATGGCTGCTGTGGTTGCAGAGCAACAACGACAATTTCACATTTAGGTGGTCAAGCCAGATAAGCGTCGGGAGCAGTAGCGGAGTGTTTGATCGCTGTGATGTCTCCTTTGTATTTGTGGATCGGGGCATTGCGTCGTTTATACGTTGTACTGTCTGTTCTGGATGACCACATTCGCACACGACTGGAGAGTTTTTAATTTTCCATTTGTGCATCAGGTATCCGCATCTGCCATCGTTTGTACAGTGAATGCAATTCAGGGTGGATCATGAGCTTCGTGGAATATCAAACCAAAGGAGCGTCTGCGTTGGGTCTTTCACAGCAAGGTGTTTGTGAGTTTTCATCAGTGACCGGGCTGAACAAACTCAGGACGTGAACCCCTTTGTCCTCTTGGGTGGCGCCACTCAGGACGAGAGCCCCCCCAGTCTCGGATCGAGCCGTCTCTACCCCCAACACCTGAGCCACACCGAGAGCGTCACGACTGACCGACGACAAGCAGGTGCCACACACGATGACATTACAGATCCCTGCCACGTTTGTTTCCGTAGCGCGCCACGGAGCCTAAATTATTCATTGTTATTGTCTCTCTCAGGTGTGTCTACTACACGTTCGTGTTTAGCGATCGCCCCCAGGAAAAAAGCACTTTTCAATAAGACCAAAGAGGAAACATCATCCATAAGTTAAACAGCTGCTGAATTATACACGTGGCCCTGGAGAATCATCGAGCTGTTAATTGAGACACACCGTCAACAGGCGCTTCTAAGTAAATGAAATTCATCACGAATTCTCTTCGTATGTATGTTGTATGTACATATGTTGAACTTCTTTCGCACCGTACGTAGGCAACCGTGCTAATCTTCATTTGCCCGTCGCGTGCGCTCAGCACGGCCCTGTGGCTTCTCCCTCCTTGTGACTCTGCAGCGACAAATAGCCGGCCCAGTGAGACGGCAGGGGGGATGCTCTCACGCAGAATAAGCGGCACGCTACGCACGCTGTTTTTTTTTCTTTTACCAGTTAAGGCTCACTGAGCTGTGCAGCCCTTTTTCAAAAGCAAACTGGCCACAAATGATACCTCCTACAGTGTGGCTTATCACGTGGAAATGTATAGCAGCCAAATACTCTAAATGTGGAGGTGAAAAACAGAGGATCTGGAGAAAGATCCTCGCGACCACGGGGAAAACGTTAAAACTCCAAATATACAGGCGTCAGGGTCGGGATCGAATCCACGACCTCCTGTATACCAGGCGACGTGGTTTAACATCTTGCCACTCGTTCAACTCATTGTGGGGAATGGTCACCTGAGATTCTCCTGGATCAACTCAACCTAGTCTGAATATCAGAGACTCAACACATTCGGCAATACCACCGTTGCTTTACAAAAAAAGTATAATATATAATGGGTGACGTTTTAGGCAATGACAGTTCTTCAGAGCACATAGGTCCGAGAGGTACTGCCAACGCAGTATCGCCAAGGACTCTGTAGCGTGAACACCGCCGTCTGGTCAATGTGATGATCAGGATGAATTGTTCCGTGGTTGGCTGGGCGTGGTGCTGGCCACAGCATCCTTCCATTCTCCTGTGAACACTTTTCAATGAACGATGAACACATTCCTGCATTGGCAGTCCGCCCATAATGGTGGCAACAGCAGTGTGAATGTAATACTTTATCTGCATTAAAATATAAATATATGTAAAACAGTCCGTCCAGTAGTCGAATGTCTTCAATGTCAATAATCTTTTGCTACGTATACACAACATTTTACACGTGCAGTCCCTCTTATGTGTTCATTGCACACAACGTTTCTGTCACGGACCCCATAGACCTGTATGGTTATCCCCTCTGCTCTTTTCAATTAGGAACTGGCTTCAGGGTCTGTCTACATTGAGCCAGCCAGCCAAATCCGCATTATCAAAACGTTTCCACAGCGTGCGTGTCCACATTTAAAATGTAAGTTATTTATTGTCATGTGCTTTGTTACCATCTCGAATTCAAAGGTGTTCAATTAATCTGCCCTGTGCCACACGTTAATGACACTTGCGGCACTTTTGCTGAGCCACATCTATTCAGCTTCATCAGCTGGTAGTACATGCAGCTGATGAAGCCGAAATAATCATTGCACGAGACACCTTATGGGGTGAGTGATCAGTTGTCACCCTGGTGCAAAGATTAGGTGCACAGGGAATGTATGCATGAGACTTGGGCATTGAAAAAAGACTGACAAAGATAGGATATTGGCAATCCAAATGTATGGCTACAGAAGGATACTGCTGCATCTAAACTGGTCCCAAGGAGTGACCAATGTAGAAGTAAGAAAATATTGCACAGAGGAAGACAACCTGATGATGTAGGCAGTGATGAACAGGAAACTGGCACTATTTGGATGCATGTGTAGGATGGACAATAACAGGACAATTAAAAGTGTGTTGTTAGGAAAAATGGAAAAAATCGGAATGAGAGAAAGACCTCAGATAATGTCTTGATGACAACATAATAGATTGGTGCCAGAAAGACGTGGTACTCGAGCATATTGGCACAAGACAGAGAAAAGTGGAAACAAATGACGGGATGTGCGGTGGATACCTACGGGGTTATCTGCCCATGCATTTTTATGTTGCCTGATATGTGATGTGTCATGAAACGTGCATGCCACGTGCAACACTGGCGCACGTTATCGCGGCTTAGCCACACGATGGCTACGCTGTGATAAAGGGCCTCTGACGGCTACTACCACACGAGCAACTTCTGAAAAATCTTGTTTGAAGGCCAGAACAGGACACGAGAGGGTGGGTGGCCAATACCATTTCCAGCCGCCCGTCTCCCCAATGCTTATGTTTACCAACCCTACTGGTTACTCATTTGAGGCTGAATCGACCTAGGAGAGGCCCATGAGGGGTTCAGATAATCGTCACCTGTGTTGTCCATGCACGGGAATCGAACTTGAGTTAATGGGTTCGTCGCACAGTGCTAAACCACTGTGCCACCGCTCCCCACTCACGCCTGTGACACACACATACACAATCATCGTGACCCATCGACCAAGAACTCAACAATGTACCTTGCCACCGATCATCAATTTGGGATCGCCCTGTCACCATCCCAGAATTACACCCAGATACAGAAAAATGTTGGCGAGGAGAATGAAATGCGGACGTCCAGAATAAATATCTCATTCGGGACCTAAACATCATCACACCTCCAGGCTTTGCTATTCCTCCTCGAAGACACTGCGGTCACCATCAACCGCATCAGAACATCAACTGCCGTTCACCACTAAGTGGCCGTGACGTCACTGCGGTGCTTGTGCCAGGCTAGGTGCACTTTGAAGCCACATGAAGTGTCGAAGACTTGCTGGCAGGTCACGGAACAGACCCAGGTGCCACGGGTTTACCGACTGAAATGCTAGGCAGATGCACCAACTGTGCTCCCCACCTTTTGCGTTTTAGCCGCCCAGCGCTCTGCTCATTGTTATAAGAATCGCCCCTCTGTTCTCCGTTGTTGCTGGAGGGCAACAGCCTCCAATTCCCCAGAAGCGTCCTTCACAAACCTCCTCTACAGAGGCCAATTTTGACGCTGCTGGTACCAATCATCTGCAAGTATGCAGCTTCCACCTGTTAAGCGGAAAGTCGTAGTCAGAATCGACTTTGTCGATATTAGTTAGGATTTTGTAAACCTGAATTCAGTCTCCATGGATTAATCTTCTTCTCTATTCAAGACTTAGGAGACTCAGTAGTGGGAGCCGATCTTCGTACATCCTGTTTCTTGAGTCTCTTGAGTCCACGAACCACTTTGGTTTCTCTCTGTTAAGACTGCCTGCAGGGCAGTAATGTCCTCTTTGTACCGTGGTAACGAGATCTGAACACAATACTACCAATTGAGGTCACGAGAGCATTATATAGCCTTCGCAATACATCCAAACAATATTGGCCACCCAGGTCTCTACCGAAGTGAATACTGCATCTATAAAAGTATATTTTTGTTAGATCCCATCAACATAAATGTGTCATTAAACCCACCACAGCTAATTCATGATGAAGCTGGTTGTTGTAATCACCGATGCAACGTCGTACTTTCATTGTAAATGTTGTGGGTTTACTTTCCAACACACCGGGTATGCTGAAGTAGCAACTAATTGACATGTTCGGTTTACATGACAAACGTTACTAATTGGCTGTCGGGTGGTGGTGGATTTGACGAAAAATGTATATTTACGCTATTTAACCCAACTTTTAAAAATGGATATTGGTCGTGAAATCCTGTGTGTTAAACTGAATATTGAATCTCCAAAGGATATAAGCAATAAGGAGCATTCATATTTTCAATGAGATTGTTTACCCATTTCAGTTCACACCTATTTTTTCAAGATGGTTTGGGTCTATTCATTTTCAATACATCTAAACCGTAAGCTGGAACAGTGAGTGAACATAAGCACATGTTAGCTCAATGTTAAATTACCGCTCTTCAAAACAAACGGGCTTTCATGAACAGGCTTTATTTTTAGAAATCTCCAGAAACTACAGCTATGTTTACAAAACTACAACAGGAGATGTGATGAGTGGCAGAAACCGTCGGTAAGTGGGGTGCTCTCGGTACTCACATTGGCCTTGTGCACGTTGTACTTTAACTATGACAACATACAGGACTGTACCATTCAAGCATGTGATGCTCCTTACTATTCAGAAACACCTGTTGTGATCAGCCAAGGGCTTGGTTTTAATAGTTGTTGTTCAGTGGCATATTGTACAGGTTGTTTTTTCTGGTCTGTGTTCAGACATTGTATATGTACAGGAGATGTTCCAACAAAACACATGAATTGGTAATCTTTGCTTTTAAAGAGGGTATTCCATGACAAAATGACATGGTGCCACTGTTCAATTCCTTCAAATCGATCATTCAAGAATACAATTGTCATCTTTTTTTACATTAGAATCAGCAATATTTTGAATGTCAGACAATATCTGAACATCATTCTCATCCATTCTAATGAAGCATCATCACACCATTATTTATACATGCAACTCTACAACCTCCGTCAATGAACGTATTCACAAGACCAAAACGTATTTGAATAGCGGCAGGACAGAGGCTAAACAAAACATTCCTCCAAATGCTGGGGAATCCTTCCCACGGTCTTCCATGAAACTCCACATAAAATAGGGATGCACATCACATTTGCAGCTGTGTTTCTGCATGTGGACTAAGTGCATCGCAAACACTGAAGATGAAAGTCAAGAAAAAAACAATGGTTATACAACTGTCGACCAAAAGAGGTTCATGATAACGAGGTGATTGCCAAGGGGTGTTGTGTATGTGTGTCACGAGTCGAGTAGGTTGATTAATGCCCGGGACTGGTCACGTGAAGTGGCAGCAAGCTCACAGCCTCATCATCAGTCTGCTGATCACAAAAGTCCACGCTTGCTTCCACAGAAAAGCCGTGTGTGCCCAGTCTCTCCAAAATAGACCAGCAACGTACACTGCAAGTGTAACTTCAAGCAGGCCGACTCGGGGGCGGGCTGTTTTGAGGCTGGAGCAGGTGTCAGTGCTCGTTACTGGCTGTCTTGCTGCAGGACGGCTTCCCGTCGGGCGTGCAGCTGCTGCCCACCCACTCGCCGTCACCCTCCTCTCTTCGCTTGGCCTTCTTGCGCAGCATCTTGTACTTGTCCACATAGCCGCGCACCAGATTCCCCACTTTTACGGGGTTGATCTCTCCGCTCTTGCTGTGACAGATCTGCACCAGAGGGGGGGAAGGGCAATGGTCGGCAGTTTGGCAGCATCGGTACATGGGTAGACTCAGCTGTATGGAGAAAAGTGGTCATGCATTCAAATAAGACATTTCTTTAACACTGCCTTGGAACCGCTGGCACATTGTCTTCACTACGTCCTCAAAAATGTGGCATGCTTCCCTGCTCAAATTAACATAGAAGTGGTGCAGAGCAAGATCATTGGTAAAGAAAACTCAGCAATCTTATGGTAGGGGCCAGTCCCTGCTTAGGATAATTGTTGCTTTCTTACCACAGTTTGCTTAGACAGCTCATCGTGACCCACGGGGTTTAGATACATCGACTGTGGGGTATTATTTAAAAACAAACTACGAGTCGTATTCATGTGCTTGTCTTACATGATGAACCACTTTGGGCTGCCACCCCTGGTCTTTTGTTTAATGCGTGGCAGAATGTTTTACTCCACTTAAAAAAAAATCTGTAAGGGCTGTAATAGACTTTCCTCAGCAATACAACATACAATTATCTGCCACACACTGCGAGATATTAAGTGGTAGGGCCTATAATATAGGTCGTATCAACAACAATGCCAGGACCGGTTCAAATATCACTCGCCACTGATGTTAACCGTGGCTGGGAAGAGGGTGCGCGCAAGTCCATACTGTTATAAAACAACAAATCGAAGATCCCAAGCCACTCTACAATGGTGGCCCTTGTTTGTTTTCTGTACCGAATTCTTGCACAGTCACATTTGTGTTTTCTCCCAACGTATTGTGACTCGGGCATTTGTCTTAATGGACTCTCACCTTGCTATGCATAAAAGTGATAGATTTATCTCAAAAGCCACTCCAGTATTTTAATGAACCCAAACGCTTACCCAGTCATTCATGACAGCCCAAAGTCAATTCTAGTTCCCCTGAATGAATCAAACTGCAATCAGTTGCATTTTTATATTTTATACCCCAGTGCAAAGCCCATCATATTTGGCCCCAATTTAGGATATGAATGTTTCTAAGACAGAACTGTACGACTCACAGCTTTTATTATGCAGCAGCAGAAGTTTGAAATAACGGAAAATAAACGAACATGTTGGGGGAACCCGACAGTGAGAACCGTGCGATCTCTCGCCGCACTCTCGCACAGAGGAGGCGCACGGCCACGCTGATGGCGCACGGCCACGCTGGCTCAAAACAAAGCGGCTCCTAGTGCCGGCCGGACCCGCTCACTGCCGTTCACAATACGCGAGCGGGTGAGGTGATGCGCGAGCCAGGACGAACCTTGTGCACCGCCTTACGCAGGATCTCCTTGTACTCGTCCTTGGTGATGTCCTTGCTCTGGTAGTAGGGCTTTATGGCCAGCTTTGCCTCCTCCACAGCTCTCTCTTGCATGTGCAGCTTCTTCAGGTACTGAAAGCCGGCATGCACACAGGTGTGCGAATGCACACGCACAAACATGGAGGTCTGAGTGTATAGCACGTGTGACCAGAGGGATCCCCCTTGGCATTGAGACGAAAGATTTTGAAAGACAATGATCCCCCCCTGTAGTCTTGCAGAGTCTCGAGGCAGATTCCTTTAAAAATTAAGGATGGTCAGCAACACATGCCTGGACACTTTTAGATCGCAATTGGCAATGGTGTTTTACATGGCCAGGAATCGCACCCAATGACTGTTCCTGGTGGGTAAATCGTAATGCCACTGCGCCTCAATGTATCGACACACGCGTGCGAGTAAAACCTCCCTTTCATCCTGCACAGACAGGCTCGGTGCCAGTTTTGGAGTCCAGCTTCTGAGAAGGCGGTGCGGTGGCCATCATCAACACATTCTCAGCTAATACTCAGTGCAGATCCTGAACAATCTGTATAGGAGCTATATTATTTCATGCCGAGTTGACCTAGAGAAGATTGGTGGGAGAAGCAGGGGACCAGATGACTTGAGGTTCATAGCAGGAATAAAGTGCCGGAAACTGGCAAGATTACTAAGGGTGAAACATGGGCCTCCAGCGAGCTTTCAGCAATCGATCCACACCAGCGCTGCCGCACACACATCTTCCTGTAAGCTGTCTCACTGTACACAATTGCCTACATGGCATGGCACTCCATTATTTGTCAGTTATGCACGTCTGTCATCAACGATCAGAAATGACAACACCTTAGGTCTGCTGCTGCTCGTGGTGATCTCGTAGTTGATTACATGAACTGTTTCGAAGAACAAATGTGATCCAAGGTCTTCGCTCATTTACCAGCTTCACATTCATTATTGCCGTAAAATACTGGAGGAAGGTCCTTTGCTGTTGATGCCTCCAGGGTCTGGAATGCTATTGCCAATAAACTGCACTAAAAACTGCTCTTAAGGAGCTGTACACCCCCCGCTGCCACTGCTATGCAGTGACCTGAAATCAAATGCACCGCTCCAGATGTTCGCTGTAAAGTATGATCTTGAGTCTCGATTAATGTGTGCTGATCTTTAAAGGTGTATTGAAAAATGTTGATACTCCTGCTGTTATGGAGTGACTCATGCTGCCAGCTATGACTGCAGAGTTTGGTCATACATGTTATGCATATCGTTTATTGTTAAATTTGAATCACAGTTCCTATAATCACTGTTACATTGTTTTTATAGCTTTATTTTGGTGATATTCGAAAAAGTATGGTTAAGTCATGTTTCGATTTAAAGCTTTCGCGACTGCAGGGATTAATCTTCTTGGTTCTTTCAATAAAGTCACGTAGAAGGGAAATAATAAAATAAAACATAATAAAATAATTCTCACGACGTTTCGGCCACAACGCAAGCAGCCGTCCTCAGGTGAAGAACAGGTCTGTCGGAAAGACAGAGTCTGAAGGACAGAGTCTGAAGGACTCTGTCTTTCCGACAGACCTGTTCTTCACCTGAGGACGGCTGCTTGCGTTGTGGTCGAAACTTCGTGAGAATTATTTTATTATTTTATTATTTCCCTTCTACGTGACTTTACCGAAAGAACCAAGAAGAGAAGTCATGTTTGTTTGTTGAAGTACGGAGTTAGCCTGATAATTGTATCTAAATTGTCTTATGGTTGTTATTGTTCGACTTGCATCCCATTGGGATTTTTGCACACAGCGTTGATATACGGTGCTTTTTTTCTGGAAGATTTTTACTGTTTTTTCCTGGATGTTTCTGTTGCAAAACGTCACTTTAAGATGTTCTTTGTTCATGATTTGTTTGTTACGGTTGCACCCGAGTCAAGAGCCTCATGGCTCACAGGGCTATACCTAATAAATGAAACCAAAACCTAGAGACGCGTGGCAACCGCGCTTTTCAGAAGGTGGGCCCTGTCGTATGGAATTCTCTACCTGACAAACTCAAAAACCTTGAGTTCAACCATTTCAAGAGAGACCTTAAAACAATTTAATGAACACAGTGTGACCAGACAGCAATGCGGATTAGAGATACTATCAGCATGATTTTGTGTTTCTTCAATGCCTATTCACATCACATTACCTTTATTACCTTGTCGGTCTTGCTCCGGTCAGGGTTGTGCTGTTGGGACCTATGCGGGGCAGGCAGCTCCTCCATCTCCACCAGATCGGGCGACGCCATCTCCTCTTCCGCGGGCGCCGGCGGTGGCGGAGGGGGCGGCGTGGGCACCCGCGCGGCGGCAGGCCGCGCCACCCCGAGCGCCGGCAGCAGCCGCCGCAGGATCAGCTGAGCCGCCACGGCGGCGCTCGTCTCCGGGGTGACAACGGAGCCCATGGCCCCCTCCGCGAAGGGAGGGGGCGGAGGCGGCGAAGGCTGCGGCCAGGCAGCCGCGGCGACGGCGGCGGCCAGGAAGGGCCCGGCCGCAAAAACGGAGAGTGGCGGCGCCGCGGGTTTGACGCCGGTGTTCATGGGCGGGGCCTGTGGTCCCGTGGCATCAGCGGGATGGTAGGGGGGGGGGAGCAGCAAGGAGGGGGGGTGCGGCAGTCGGGGTGAGGGAAGGCAACACAATATTCATCTCCTGATTCGCCTTCGTTAGGCGCCGGAGCATTTACCACGTTGGTGGGAGCTCCATTGCCTGCTCAAGGATGTCCCTGCTTCCCTAAAAAATGAGTATTTTATTCTGTTTTCTGAATATTATCGATAAGCGAATAATGGCCTATGATGTTCTGAGATTTCAGGCTCACAAACTGGCCTCTGCTATGGTCACTGACAAGGGTGGTAACTCATAGATTTTGATGAATTGTCATAATTCAGGTCCTTGATTTGTTTCTTTTTTTATTCAGTCTTGTTTGTACATTTTTGCTCACTCGATTAGCTTCACCGCAACATTATTGCATCATTTCCATGAATACTGCAAAACATTTAAAAACACTTGATTATTGGCGAGATTCAATGCATGTATGTTGATCTTTAAGCAAGGATATCAATCAATGAATCGATACTCATTGCAATAAACAGACCAACGGGCTGGTTTGTGATGGGCCCACTCGACTGGCACACGGAGTCTTGCATAGGGTGTTTATACAACGGTGAGAGAGGCAGACCTCTCCCCAGCCACATAATCAAAATCAGAATCTTTGTTCATCCTGGAGAAATCCAATGAGATATGAAACTCTTTTTCATAGATGTCCAGTAAGGAGTGGGTCAGAAAGTTACAACAAACAATATAAAAAACGAAAGGAGTGCAAAGTATAGGAAATTAATCAAATCACTCAATAAATAAAACTGATTAAGTATATAAATTCAAATTGCATAAGTACACCAATCCCCAAGCTTGGGCAAGGCAGCAAAACAACATAAAAAACAGTCGCAGACTACACCATGACAAAACACAATCCCCAACAAAATTGCGCATTAAAATTTTACTATCTCCAAGTAGCAATACAAATTACATTTGCAAATGCAGTTGTATCCAGCACTAATCTTCTGCCTCAGGATATTTAAAGGGACATTCACAATTCTAGATTTGAAGCTTTCATGACTGCAAGGATTCATATTCTTAGGTTTTTTCGGTAAAGTCACGTAGGTAAAAAATAAAAATTAATAAAAGTAAAATAAAATAAAAATCACGACGTTTCGGAGGCAAGACAAGCTTCCGTCTTCAGGTGTAACCGTCACAGTATGATAGCTATATCAAATGATTTTATTTTTATTTTACTTTTATTAATTTTACCCATTGTTGTTGTTCTTTAGTGAGTACGTGAATACAATCTCGTAAGGGCACTGACCTGCACCATTCCTGGGAACATGGGTTGGGACACCATGTAGTTGGTGGGGGTGAGCGCGGCAAGTGGTGGGGTTGAAGTCACGTCCTCGGAGTGCAGCAGAGGGATGTCTCCAGACCCCACAATCCCACCACTGCTCAGCAAGCTCAACACTGCTCACAAGTGGAGTGCAACACAAAGGCAAAGACACCCCAGTATAGTCTTCACAGACTGTTGGGGCAAGTGCTGTTCTCGAACTATGAGGGCCGGCACGGCACATGACGGGGTGGTGGCCAGCTCCACGCCCGGCCGTCTTTGTCTCCCTCGTGGCAATGTTTTGCACGTCGCACTAGGTACTCATTTGAGGCTGAGTCGACTTAAGGGAGGCCGAGGACCGGTTCAGATAATCGCTACTGGTGTTAACCGTGAGCAGGAATCGAACTCAGGTCGCCAAGTTCATAGCGCAACACACTAACTGCTATGCTACCGCTCCCCAGTGTGACACACACATGCACGCAGTAGTGACCATTACCTCCTCCTCGTCCGAGCCATTTAAAATGAGACAAAGTGCAACTGGACATGGAGATAAGATACACTGTAAAAGTCTACATGTATTTCCTTGTGTATCTCAGTATTTCCTCTTTCTCTCTGTTTCTCTGCAGGCTGATTGCTCATGGTTTCCTGGGCCAGCTTTTTCAACCCATTACAACTCTGGAAGTGCATAATCCAAAGCGTTTCAAGATCCATTTCCAATATTTCCAAGAAATTCCGTAACCAGTGACCTTCCCAATAATGAAGCATTCTGTATAACCCACGAGTCCCCACAGCCGCCCCAAAGGCACTGTCCTTACCCGCCATTTGTCACTGCCCTCTAAGGTAATTATAATTTATTGTTTAGCCCATGAGCCATTATCACCCCAGTTAATAACTTTAGCATCGTTATTAAAGCTTTCACAACCTGACCACGGGCCCACACGGGACATTAACATCTGCCGAGCGGGCACGTGATTGGGACTAAAACGAGGTGTGCACATGACTCCGAGCCCGGCATCATCATGATGCACTACTATCAAACGCAACAATGGGACGGCGGCCCGGGATCCCCGCACGTGCTCACCGGCACGCGCCGTGTCTTTGCGCTGCTCTTCCTCGCGCTGTTGCTGTGGGTCCCACGTGACGCGCTTCAGCAGAGGCCTCTCCCGTAGGGCCACCGTCTCACTCCCCCACTGCTCTCCACCGCCGCTGCCCCCAAACTGTGCCGTCTCGGACACCGGAGATGCCTCCCCCAGGTCAGGCGACGCCTCCCCAGGGCCCGGCGACGGCACTCCCAGGCCTGGAGACGACTCCCCCAGGTCAGGAGAAGCCTCCCCAGGGCCCGGCGATGGTGCCTCCACATCAGGAGATGCCTCCCCGGAAGCCGGTGATGATGGTTCCAGGCCGGGCAGAGACACCTCCAGCCCAGGCAATGACAGCCCGTGGGAAAACGGCGTCACACCCGGGCCTGGCGACACCGCCTTTGAGACCGGCGATGCCATCCCAAAATTAGCCAATGGCACCGTGCGTCCGGGCGATGCGAACCCCAGGCCCGGGGAGCCAACTACTCGACGCGGTGACATCACGCGGGGACCCAGCAACGCCTCCTCCAGACCCGGTGACGCATCCCCGCAAACCGGCGATGTCTCGCCAGCCACGTCCACAGACATGGCATGGCTCTCTATGTCCGTCAATGCGCCATCGTCGAGTGCTATGGGCAGGGACAGTGGGAGCTGTGGCTCCAACAATGTCACTCCAACGCCGCCACTGCTCGTTTCGTCCACTGGATGCCACCGTCGGATTCGAACGCGATCCCTGCGTTTTTGTTTCTCAATGGGGGATGATGGAAGCGGCTCCTGTGGGCAAGGAGCTCGACTTTCCGGTTCAACTGGTCCCTCCACCACCTCTGCCTCCAGCTCCCCCTCCTCCTGCTCCTCTGGCTCCAGCCCCGGAGCCTCCTGGGTGGATCCCTGTTTCGGAGCGTCCCTGGTCTTGTAGTCCAGACACATCGTGGAGGTCTTGCTTGACTCGTGATCATCTGCACACACCGGGCTGTCCGCGGCGGACACCACCGACTTGAAGGTTACTTGCGACTCCTCCACCTCCTCATCCTCTGGCCACAAGTGAACAGAGTCCTGCTTGGGCTGCACCTTTATTTCAAACTTCATCAGGGGATCAGCTTGGTCGACGTCATTCTCATGCCTCACGAGCTCGCCCACGGGCGCCGCCGACTCAGGGTTGACAAATGTGCGCTTGGGCGACACGATAACATCACTTTTGCCCGCCTTGCTTGACCGCTTGCGCCTTGTGCCACCCTCCACTCCATCTGCTGACGCCCGCTTGCTGCGCTTCATGTCCGACTTGGACTTGCCATCACCGCGGGGCTCTTGCGCCGCTTTCGCCCTCTTTGCCTTTGCTCGTTTCTCCGTCTCCGATTGCTGCCTCTGCGGCCGCTCTCCCTCGCCCTTCTGCCCCGCCGACACATGACTGCTGACGCTGGCTGACCGCACCTCGGAGAAGATGGTGATCTTCAAGTGGTCCATGCTGCCTCTGCCAAACAGCTGTCGCTCGTACCGCTTGTCCTCTTTGGGTTTGACGCGGACACTGCCGCTACCGCCACCACCATCGCTGCCATCTGTCGGTGTGGCCGTCGCCGGTGGCACCGTCGGCATGACACCGAGGGGCGAGCGTGCCGCTCTCTCTTTCCGGTGGTCGCGCTCGCGCGGCCTCGTGTGCGGTGGCGGCGACTTGGGGCTCCGGCGCCAGAACGGCTCCTCCGCGTTGTCGGCATTTCGCGAGCTCGAGCATTCGCGCCGCCGCTCTTGCGGGCTGGAAGGCTCCCGCCACCGCTCGCGAGAGTGGGAGCGCTCACGACGGAGCTCATGGGAGTCCGAGCGGTCTCTCCGTCGCTCCCGTGGGCTTGGCGGCTCCCGGTGACGCTCGCGGGAACTCGAGCGCTCGTGCCGGTGCTCAGGAGAGTTCGAATGCTCGTGCCAGCGGTCTCGCGGGCTCGATGGCTCCCGCCTCCGGTCGTGCGACTTCACTTTCAGTTTCTTCTCCCGCTCCCGCCGCTTTTTTTCACGATCCTTCACGGAGTCTCCGCTACCCTCGTTCCTTGAGTGCTCCTTCACGCGGGTTGCCCGCTCCCTCACACGTTCCCGATCCCGCTCCCTGTCTTTTTCCCTGTCCCGCTCTCTGTCCCGCTCTCTGTCCCGCTCTCTGTCCCGCTCATGCTCCCGGCGGACGGAGGAGCTGCGTGACGCACAGGAATGCTTCTGTCTCTGGCGGTGCTCCGAGCGACAGCTCGAGCCACTCGCCGAGCCGCCCTCGCCGCTCTCCCGTGAACGCCGCCGCTGCTTACGCTGTTTTCGCCGTGAGCGCGAGTCCGAGCGCCGACGCCGCTGCTGATCGCTTTGCTTTTCCTCACGGGGACACTCATCCGGCTGGGACCGTCGCTTGCCCATGTGCCGGTAATTGCGGTCCTTCCGTCGCGCAAAGCGCGTGTCCCCACCCCGCTGGGCCTTGCCACCCGCGCCGCCTCCCTCACCGGCCTCCGCCGCGTAGAAACCGTCTTCTTCCGAGCCGGCGTGCAGCGACAGGAGGTCCTCATCCTGCGCCGGGCCCGACGCGTTGCGCGACGCCGCCGACGCCGCGTGCGCTCGCGGGTCTCCGTCAAACGTGTCCACTGGGTCCACGATCTCCCCCATCTCCAGGGGCTCCGGGTTGGTGTTTGGGACGGGCGAGCACTTGCGGCCCTCCTTAAGGACCCGCTGTGCATGATCTCCATCTTCTCCGCAGCCATCCTTCGGCTCTTCGATGGATTTCCTTTTGTCCGAACGCGACCTCTTAGCACTCGCTGGACTGGACGAATGCCGTGAAATTTTCACTTCCTCTCTTGCACCATCTGAACGTTTGGCGGGCGGGGTACCGACGTGCACCTCGCTGCGGACTCTCGCAGGCAGTCCCTGCTCCTCGCTCATCTCCGATGTTCCCATCACTCCCTCCGTCTTGTCTTCATCCTTACAGTCCTGCATGCCGATCTGAGCCGCCTCGCCCTGGTCCACAGGCACAGCCTCGCTTTTTACACTTTGCCAGTCAGTGCCCAAGTCATTAACCGCCTTTCCAGGCTCGCACTGCTCAGATGCCGCTTGACCAATAATATTTGTACTCAAATCTTTGTTGCTCAACTGGTTTGTACTCGATACCATCCCAAGATCCTGAGTCTGGTTTTTCCCCTTTTTGCCCTCCAGATGCACACCGTCTGTAACATCTTCGACGCTAAGCTGTCCCTCACCAGTGATGTCCTCCCGCAACTCTGATTTAAATGGTAAGGCTCCTTCCTCTAGCATGTTCCCAATCCCAGCACTCTTCGTTTCTCCACCATCTGATGCACTGATCCTCGGGGTATTTTCATCCTTAACGTTGCTCTTTGTAGTCGGGATTTCATCCAGATTTGTATCCGTGTCGGTGCCCACGCGAGCCTCTTTTCCGCACTCCACCATCGACTGCCCCTTTGAGCCAGAGTAACCCTCTCCACCAGAGTAAGGAGGGCTCCTTTCTTGCGACTCGTCCGATCCACCTGCCGCACCACATCCCTGCCGCGAGTTCGAGCGTTCATTGCCGCCGTCCTTCCACGCCGGATCTTTGCCGTCCCGTGAGGTTCCCCACGAGGAGTCCCGCGAGGAGTCCCGCGAGGAATCCCGCGAAGGGTCCCGGGGCGGAGAATCCTGCGAGGGGACAAGCGGCGCCTCTCCATCAGGCGGCACCTCACTATCAGACGAGCTGCAATCACCCGGAGAAGGGAGCCCCGCACCAGGCGTGGCCGGCAGATCGTCGGTGCCGTCCGAGTTTCCGTCCTCGGGGGATGGGCTGCTAGGGCTTGGCGGCGAGCTGGGGTTCGAGTCAGTTGGACGGAAGGGGTCGTAGGTGTCGTCCTCGACCGCGGCGGTGCCGCCAACGCCGTCTCCGTCGCTGTTGGCGCGGCCAACGCGTGCCCGTGCCCGCCCCTCCTCGCTGTTGGCACCCTCGTCGTCGGTGGGGTCAGAGGGGTCGTACGCCTGATGGGCCAACAGTGTAGCCACAGTGGGAGGCACCGACGAGGAAGGCGGGCACGGCCTCCGCATGGGAGAGCGCTTGGGGGCGCTTGCCGTCTGCTCCTGCCAGCCTCTGCTGTTTCCGGTCAACTTGATCTCGATTTTGCCCAGGTGTGGCACTCGCCCCTGCGTGGATGTGAACGAAGACGAAGTACCGGGGCAGGACACAGGCAGCGCTCCCACCGCCGCGGCCTTCCCACTGGGTATGCGAGCAAAGGGCAGCTCGGCCGCCTCGGGCCTCCACGGCACCGCGCCTGCGTCCTCCACGCTGGCGTCGTGCTCCGAGCTCTGCTCCCCGAGGCCGAACGATCGGTTGATCTTAAAATGGCGCTTGTTGCGCGCGGACGCTGGCCTCTTTTCACCGGCGCCCTCGCCACGTTCTCCGCCCCCGTACCGCGGAGCTTGGAGCAGCGGGGGAGGCAACGATGGGGGCCCAGCGGTGCTGCAGCGGAGCCGCCCGGGGTCGCCGCCTCCGTTGGCGGCTGGTATGCCACTTGAGGTGGAGCCGCTCACGTTGGAGTGGGCCGTCATGGCGTCCACCAGCCCGCCCTGCTGTGAGGAGGCGGGCATGGAGGATGACGAGGAGGAGGAGGACGAGGACGAGGAGTGGGGAGGGACACCACTTCCACTGCCGCCACCGCCGCCGCCACCATTACCGCCCGCAGTGCCGCAGCTGCGGGCTCCCGGCCAGTCCCCTCCGCGGACGGGTGCGCTGCTCGCACCGCCGCAGGGTCTGCTCGGAGAAACGGTGACACCTGCCGAGGAGAGAATAGCGGCCACTATGAAGAATCGACTCAACTCGTGTGGGACTCCCTCAAAATTAAGGTTAAGACATAATTTTTCATGGCACGATACAATATAAAGTCTCATGAAATCATGATTATAGCAAAACCAGTTTCCCTCAATTTCACATATTTATTGTCTTGTTTTTGTACTTTTCAGTTCACCCAAAATAAGGCTACCATAGGTCTTAATATAAGCCTGCCACACGTAAGTCTCATAATTATACAAGATGCATGTAGGGCAGTTGTGAATATATACTCATAACGTGGGGCACATCAGTGTAACATGTTAACGACAGCATGGAGACAGTAGTCAGTCTGATACCTCTCCTCTGTCACCATCGGTTTAAGCAGACAAAGAAAACCACTGAGGAGCATTTAGAGAGGAATGGGGCAACAGTAATTCACACAGGACTGGCACATTCCAGACATCTGTCTGCAGATACAAAGGCTAATTAACAACTCTCAGTGTGTGAATGCAAACATGCTCATGTGATTGGGTGGACATCTATGTCATTTGGCAACCTTTAAAAAAATAGTTCCAAAGCCCCATCACACACAGAGCTACTTGTACACAAACACAGACACAGCAAGTAAAGAGCAGATGACAAATTCAGACTTAAAAACAAAATAGGTTTAAATTATTTAGTTTTCCGCCCCCCTTTGCTATTCTTTAACAATACAGTTTTACTGTTGTACATTGTCACCAATACATTTCATCATTACCCATTTCCTGCCACAATTAATCAATTATCTTTACATTAAATTATAAGATTTGTTTTTTTAACGGCTGCCCACAAAGGGGAAGTTACATGCGGCTCAGGACCCGCAGGTTGCCGACCCCTGATCGAGAGTGCAGCAGATGAGGTTGATGCAAGGCCGAGCTCTGCCGAGTCCAGTTTGAATCCAAGAGTAAACGGAGCTATACGTACACCGTCGCCACTCCCACTCCCCACCCATCATTGGATGTGTGAGGAATGTCAGACTGGCCATGACTATTAACTCATTGGTATAATCCAAGATTTCGCTGGTTAAATAAATTGCTTTTGGGTCCCAACTCGGCAGTAATTATACACAATTACATTTACTACGACATACCTATGAGACACTGTACGTCATTTAATAGAGGACTAACAAGTTTTTATGCGAGCTGCTTCTGCAGTGTTTTCAAACTTTCTGCAGTCTCATGTGGCTGTGCTTTAAACACCTCCACACTCTTGCTTCTCTTATGGTATAGCAGGGCGACTTGGTTCCTTTGCATATATAGCCTAATATTCCGAGGCCAAACCACTGTGCCACTGCTGCACTACCTGCGTGTATAGACGCAAGGCTAAGCAGCTGATATTTATCACCTTTGTTGCAATAGAGATCTCTAACTATACGCACTAAAAACATTCCAAAGTCAATCACTGTTCGTACTTCCTTACAAATTACAACAGTTTAACACGTAGGCTTTCGCGGCCAATATCATCCATAAGAGGTTTTTTTTGGGTTAGATTTAGTGACGAATTGGCATGTTCTGTTTACGTGACAACCCTTACTAGTTGGCTGTGTCAGGTGGTGGTGGGTTTTGACGACACATTTATATATTTACGTGATCTAACCCAAAAAAAACCTAAATTACAATACAATTATGATTAATGCAGTGTATAAATGCAACCATGTCTCAAGAAGCTGCACAAAACAGTGCGACATCCTGCAGAAAGGAGACTCGTTCATGTTTTTCATAATGATAAAGAAACAGGCATTGGCAGAGGAAAGGAGCTTGGACTTGAACAGGGTGAGTCAACCGCACGGATGGCTGGGGAACAGGAGTTCCTGACTATAGGGGCAACAGAGGAGAATGAGCAATATCCCATTTAGTGAAGGCTGAATGGGGGCTTTTAGTGGAGTAGAGCGTACGTATGGAGTAATTGAGCGAGTTGAGTGGGGATAACTAGGCAGGGGTGAGTCCATGGAAGACAGAGGGTCATTTTTAAGTTGGTCCAGTGAGGAGTTCAGATTCACCATACTTAACATCAAAGTTAAGACAACCTCCACAAACACATTGTAGCCTGCTCATGAGAAATGTCAGAGGGTATTTTCAACTTTGCAACTGCACATTTAGAAGTTGCACAGAGACCGCCAACAAACTGCACAACTTTCACCGACTTTGTGGACAACTGCCAAAGTTTTTGTGGTGAATGCTCCAAGACAGACCACCCAGCCTTCCACAGTGTCATGCGGTGAAGGGGCGTGTGCGAGGACGGATGTGCGGTACCCGTAGGGGTGCGTGGCTGCAGGGCCCCGTGACGCGTGATCAGGAGCTGGCTGCTATCCATGAGCAGCACGGCCTGGCCGGCCAGGATGGAGCCCAGCAGATCAGGCTCCGGCTGAGACTCGGGGACGGGAGGCGGGCAAGGCACCCTCTGTAGTGCTGGGCTTTCCCTCAATGGCCCCTCGCTGGAGCCAGGTGGAACAGACATGGGCACACACACCTGCTCAGAGTCGCATCACTGGATACCGCACGAAACCCAAGTGAACCTAGTGTGGAGGTACACAAATGTAGTGCACTGAGGTATGTCAAAGCCCACTTAAACGTACCATCTCCGCTAAAGAATAAACAAAGAATGTACACAAGAATTGTATGGACTTCTCTTGTGACTGATACTGATGTCAGTCTTTAGGATCCCCCCCTTTATCCATTCTACTCAGAAGAGCCATCTATCCCACCTCCCGTCCCGGCAGTAGATCATCAAGCGATTACCTTTATCAAACTAGGTTCGTCAGCATTGAATATATTAAATTAAAAATATTCAACTGAAGCAATGTACACAAAGCAAGCTCAAAGTCAACCCAGACCCATTACACCAAGGTGGCAGTGTGTGTAAAACTACAAAAACAAAGCTCCCCCATAGAGTCTTTAACAGACTATTGTGGCAAGTGCTGTTAACGAGCACATATTCAGGTCGGCACAGCATACAATTGCATGAGTGGCCGACACCACGTCTGGCCGCCTTTAGTCTCCCCGATGCTGTTTACATACACTGCACTAGGTACTAATTTCAGGCTGAGCTGACCTCGGGGAAGCCCAGCACCAGCCTAGATATTTGTCACCAATGTTGGCTGTGAACGAGAATCAAACCTGGGTCTCTGGGTTGGTAGAACAGTGCACTAAGTACATTACCATCTCCACTTTATATAACTACACACACAGTCATGTGTAAGTAGAGAGTTAATGCTTGCAAAGTGCGGACACACTCGAGCATGCACAGTGGAGAGATGTTAACCACTTCGCCTGGTATACAGGTGTTCATGGGTTCTATCCCGACCCTGACTCCTGTATATTTGGAGTTTGCATGTCTCTCCCCGTGGTCATGTGTATTTTTCTCTAGGTTCTCTGGTTTTTCCCTCCACATTTAGAATAAACATGTGTTTTGAGTATTTGTCTGCTAGAAATTTCCACCTAAGCCACTTCGTTGAGCTACTGTGTAGCTCAGTGGGCCTTACCTGGTAAAATAAAAAAGTTAAAGTTCATCGTTTTGTTAAGCGCAGCTTTGTGTAAGCAAGTGCAGAGGCGAGAAGAGTGTCCCAGCGACGAGGAAGTGTAACAAACGTGTACACGACCAGCTGTGGTACCTGGCAGCGCCGGCCATGATGGGCCGGGCAACAGGACGGTGCGAGTGAACGGCCAAACGGGAGAGCACGCGACGCTTGCTGTCCACGGCGCTCTCCTCTGCGGGACTCTCGGCACTGACGAGACACAGGAGCCGCGTCTAGAGACTCCCCAACAGTAGTGCAGCTAACAGCGGCTCAACACGCCTGAAGCTTGTAGAGATTCCCACAAATCACAGCAGCTAAGTCATAAATACAGAAAACAAGGTGTTCACTCTCATTATGCCAAAGGGGTGAAGACTCCCACTGCTCAGTTTACTTGATAGTTCACGGAGAAGGAAGTAATTTTCTCCTCGGTGTAACCTGTGGCTGCAAATTTGAGGGGAACTAATATTCCACCTTTGCATTTCCAGTGTATTTACAGAGATTCCTCGTTTAACGTAGTAGATGCATTCCTGAAAAGTGCTGCGTTAAGCGAAAATGCTTTCAGAGGGGAATTACTGTACCAAATCACATTTGCACTTTAAGACCAGCCTGCAGTCATCCCATGGCGAGACATCGAAATGAGGGTACGCTGCGTACTGTATCATTCTGCCTACTCTATAATTCCACGTACAATATCATACCGCTCCGCCACGCAGCTCCAGAAAGTAGTTGGTCGTTGACCACTCAGACACCGCGATAAAACCGGCACGTTCCGCATTATGACGGGCGCTTAAAGAGTTATGAGCACTTTCCGCGCTGTGCAAAGAGTTTTCCCGAATAGAAGAACCGCGCTGTAGCGAAAGTGTTGTGTGAACATGCGTTAAGCGAGGACATACTGTAACTGCAAATTGTAATGCCAGTGGCTTCATGAGAACCAAAAAACAGTCAGGCAAGTGCCCAGCACTGGTGCATCAAACAGTCTTCTAATTTTAACATTTAACTAAACCACCTGCACATGTCAACTGCATGAGCAAAACCGAGACGGCGTATATCACACTACCATACCAATGCCATGGCTGCCTGTAATAGTTTTATTTCCGGACATGTTGAACAGGAAAATGAATCAGGAGGCCACAAGTGCCGCTGACCTCTCAAAGGGGTCGAACTGATCTGGGTCTTCGAAGAGCATGAAGCTTGGGGCACCGATGTCGGAGCGACGTGGCCCCGAAAAACGCTGCAGTGGAAGTGTTGCCCCCATGGCCGCCACGGGACCAATGGGGGGTCCGGTGGAGCCACCTGGCGTCCTCTTCACCTGCGCGCAGTGCGGAGCCGGCGCGATCACCACCTCAGCTCAGCGAGCAGTAGCTTCTCATTGCTTGACTTGCCATTACATCAAGCTATCGGGTGGTATGTATGTATATTGAACTTATATCGCATCATACGTAGTCAATCGTGCTAATCGCAGGTGTGGGGGAAGGACAAACTCAACACAAAAAGTAGTTAGAAAGAAATGCGTTTTCAATCTCGATTCAAAAGTGCATAACTCCAGTGGTTTCCTAATATCTGCAGGAAAAGCATTCCAGATGGCCGCAGAAGCACATCTAAAAGTGTGCGATGCAGTGAGCATCATTGTTTGATGGCGAGCCAAAAGCTGTTGCGAGGAAAACTAGAGTTTGTGTGATGGCTTAAGTTTAACAGGCCATAAAAGACTGATGACAGGAGCAGTCAAGGGTTGCCCATAGTGACCCAGAAGGTGCAAAGGTTACTTCATTGACAAATAACCAACTTAACTTATTATTTTACACTAACTAGTAAGGTCAGCATCTTATTCAAAGGCTGGTTTCTGAGATTGACCTTGAATTTAACCCTGGAAACCATTTTGACTCCGCAATCGCATGAACCATGAAGAATACATTTCACACTCATAGGCTGGTTACCTTTTTACATTCAATGTTGTTGAGAACATTATTAAGTTTTTACTTCAGTTAGTGGTCAACAGTTTCAGGTCATCAAAGCACCATACCAGAGAACTCAGTTTAATCACAAGCCACTGCAGATTCAAACCCAACATCTCAGCACCGCTGACTTAACGCTGCGACACAACACAGGCCTTATGAGGAACAGGGCCACCTATAATTTCCCATTAATTATTTAATTCACACATTCTCACTACAAGCTTTGGTAGATATTTTTACAATTATATCTTCACATTTATCTCAGACTCGGGAATGCATTTTTTTGTCAGAGCAACACAGCTCGAATGACGACACGCTGCCATTTGCAGCACGCGTCGCTGTCGCGCAGCGCCTGCAGGGGCCGACGACGACGAGCAAGGAGTGGGAAGCGTCCGCTCACCATCTTGCGGACACGCTTCATCAGCTCCCCCTTGCGCCGGTGGCAGCGGCGTGCAGACGTGGAGGCCCGCGGCTCCCGGGGACTATTCACACGACGACCTCGCTTGGGCCTCCCACTCACTAGGGCACGGGGGGGGGGGGGGGGAGTGGTGGGGGGGTTTGGAAACAGGGGCACGACCCAGCTCCCCTCAGCCCTCCTGCACTCCCAAACTTGCCTTGCTACTGCCCAGCACATCCCAGCGCACGACGTGGATGACAAAGTCAGCACAGGCTTGACTGGAGGACTCAACAGATAGACTATGAAAATAAACATTTTCTTTATTTTACCAGGTAAGGCCCACTGAGCTATACAGTAACTCTTTTTCAGAAGTGACCTGGCAAGAAATGATGGCTCAAACCGAAGGACCGGAGAAAAATCCACGCGACCACAGGGAGAGAACATGCAAACTTCAAATATTCAATTTTATATCAGCCAAATACTCTAAAAACATGTTTCTAAATGTGACGGGAAAAAGCGGAGGACCCGGAGAAAAATCCATGCAACCACAGGGAAACAGAAACTCAATATACAGGCGTCAGGGTCGGGATCGAACCCACAACCTCCTGTATACCGGGCAAGGTAGTTAACATCAGATGACTGATGTATGAAAACAGCTAGATAAAAGTACCAACACAGATCTTGACTGGATATCAATGCGCACGAGTGACGAACGTACGACTGATTGGCGAATCAAACCCAAGTCGCTATTGAGCCTTACTTGGTAAGCAACAAAACTACTGTTCCAGCGTTTATGTAGAGAAACCAGGTCTGAGCTGTGCACATAACAAACGCAATGAAAAGGGCGATGTTGCCCACTTTCATCGTGCTTTAATAAGCAGACTGCTACATACGCTTGGTGCCCATGACCCTAAAACACATTGCACACAATCGAAAGCCAAGATTCTGCAAGGCCAGGTCAACCGTGGCCGCTCTCTTGGCCAGGACTGAAATTGGGTCACCCAATTAATCTATGGTATTTTGAGGAATCTATATAAATGAGAATAATTTTTATCCCAATTCTGATAATGGGATGTGTGAATAAAAGGCAAACGAGGAGTTTTTTCGGTATCGTGGCTTTGTGGTATACTAGCCTTGCACTATAATCGTTTTTCCACATATTGTTTTTAAACTTATATTTCTTTCACACATCCATGCCTCGTTGGGCTTCCACCTGGTTCTCCGTGCAGGATTATGAGTGCGCAACTATGGGACAGCGCATGGCAGCATGTAGTAGTTCATGGTATCGTTTGTGGTACCGCTTGTGGAAGCGCATGATTACCGTGCCGCGGCGTTGCCCGCCGGTTTAACCCTGCCACGGTGGCCGCCACCAAGTCCTGCACCAGCTGAGGGTCAGGTGAGAAGAGCTCCATGAATCTCTGAGGGCACACAGGACGCAGGGCATATGCCAGGGCAGGGGAGGGATTATACAGCTTGGCGAGGCTGAACAATCAGGTACACACAACAGACGCCAGCACCATAAATATAGGTTAAAAGGCAAGGCATGAATAATCAGAAAGCAAGGATGTTAAAAGAGCAGAGCTTGCTATCATTGTGAGCAGCTAATTAATTTGGCTTTCAGAGAATGTAAAACACGAGTATGGTGAAGGTGGGGCACAATGATGTGTGAATGGGATAGAGAATTACATTTGTGATGGGCATGTGAAATGCAATACACAAAGATAAAGATCCCCCATATAGCCTTTAACAGACTGTTGGGGCAAGTGCTGTTAGTGAACTCTGGAACTGTACACGAAAGGGTGGGTAGCCAGCACCCGCCCGGCCGCCTTTGTCTCCCCGGTGGCGATGTTTACTACACACCACACCAGGTACTAGTTTCAAGTTGAGTCGACCTAGGGGAGACCCAGGACAGGTTCAGATAATCGTCACCGGTGTTGGTGGTTGTGAGCGGGAATCGAACTCGGGTTGCTGAGTGCGTAGCGCAGTGCGCTAACTGCTACACTACCGCTCCCCTCAATTCACAATAGGAATATTCACACAGTAGGCATGTAACTTTTGAATATTAAATAATGCATCTAATAAGTCATCATTATGCAATGAATTTATTCTATGTGAATGGACCAGACAAGACAGAACATACAAGTGAGAAAATACAGAAGAGAGAAACGAGAGTGCGCGAGTGCATGCGCGATACCTGCTGCGAGAAAGAAAGGCGGCTGCGGTTGACGCGCGCGCGCACGCGTTCACTCTGCCGCGTGCGTGCGATGACACGCATGGGGCCCGGCGCCACCGAGACTGCAGCACACACATACACGCACGCACACACGCAGACACACGCACACGCTCGCAGTTACGTTCACCGCCCCATAGGGGGCCTCAAACAACAAACTATAAACTTTTTTTATTTTAGTAGGTAAGGCCCACAGAGCTAATATAGCTCTTTTTCAGAAGCGACCTGGCCACAAATGATAGCTCAACAAAGTGGCTTATCAGGTGGAAATGTATGGCAGCCAAATACTCTAAATGCATATTTTTAAATGTGGAAGGAAAAACAGGACCCGGAAAAAATTTTACGCAACCACGGGGAGAACATGTAAACTCCAGGCGTCAGGGTCAGGATCGAGCCCACGACTTCCTTCATAACCAGGCGAGGTAGTTAACATCTCGCCACTGTAGCCTGTGCAAACACAGGCATTGCTCTGGGGCTTGAACCACACAGAGCACCTTCACTGTGATCAGTACGGTAACACAGTCATTAACACTGCCATAAACTGAAGAACATACAAAATGTGAATGTTTAATGCATTCATCAGAGCAATGAGAGGAGCCAGATTGACCGACAGACTTTAGAGTGTGGTGCATTGAAACACTGGGACACTGGGAAAGAAAACATTTATTAAATGTTTTGTTACCAATTATATTTGTTAAAACAGTTGCCGACCATAGGTACAGAAGCCAAAAAAATGAAGCGGTCAGAAACAAACAGCGCCATTGAAGGTATAAAATATACATGTCAATACATTTATTGAATTTAAAAAGGTTGTAACAACTTGGGAATACAGAAAATGGGATGAATTCCCAAGTGGAGCATTGGGATGAATGAAGCCGAGAGAGAAGTATTTTTATCCAGCAGTCTGGCGGATGAAAACTAAACTCAATAGTTAAATGTTCTTCCACCATACTGCACGAAACTATGCTACTGTGTAGGCGAGTGGCCTCGTAGGTCTGGGACACTTGCTTAGATCAGGGCACCGATTTAGTTCCTCAGAGTTGGTAGATTCTCAATCCCTGGGGATGTTCGGTACCAATAGACACGTTCAAGAGTTCACTACACAAGAGACACCCTCGACGAACACGTCATAGCGAAGGCACCGGCTGAGTGATGGTATACACCTGCGATCCAGGTCGAAAGTGCAGATTTAACCATTGGCTCAAGTATCACCGATGGAATGGAGCACCAGCCAGCAATCATGCGGGCATGGAGACACAACCCAGCACCCAAACCAAAAGCAACCCTGCGAGCTTAATCTTCGCTGTCGACATGGTCAGCGTGCCCCAGGCCGTGCTATGCAAGCGAGCCAATAGCTGTGACTGAAGAGCCTCAATGGGAAGCCAAGCCATAGCCTTGTGTCAACGGTGCTGGGGCCCTACCGATGGAGGGGGCCCGGGGAAGGCAGGTGGGGCAGAACCACTCCTCCACGGGTATGCTGTCCAGCGGGGGGACCAGGCACTCCATGTGGAACCTAGGAACACAGCAACACAGCCAGCACGGCACACAACAGCTCAGTCAGCTCATCAACCACTCCACACCAACCCCGCACTCACACCAGCCCAACACACCGCATCAGCTGCCCCTAACCAACCACTCACATGTTAATAACACCATTAACCACCACTAACCACCCATAACAGGTCAACCACACCAACGACATCTTAATAATTGCAGCAATCACTTAACATCACGACACTTTGGCTGTATGGACACTGCACCGACTGCAATGCAGCAACCATACACCACAACGGTGCGTGAACACTGCCCAGCTATTGTACTCAAGCACAATAGCTGGGCAGTGCGAGGACCACAGCGCACGACCGCGAGGGGGCGACTCACCCTGTATCGCAGGCGTCGCACAGGAGCATGCGTTCCTCGCGGTCGCTGAGGCCGCACGCGCGGCACGGGGTCTCCTCGTCACCGCCACCACTGCCACCGTCGTCATCCCACAAATGCGCCTTCTGCTTCCGATTGGGTACGGCGATCTGCGAGGGCGGCGGAGCAGAGCACACGCGTTGCCACTCATGGCCCTCAACCGCACCTACGTGCTTTCGGGTCGTATCAGAGAAAACGTCGTTCTGGAACTCCCTACATCAGCAAAGCATCAAGTCATGGTGGGGAGCAGCCCTGGACAAGGGCGTCCCTTCATGGGCCTCTGATCCAACACCAGGCAGCACTCCGTGCTCTACAACAGTTCCACTTGTGTCAAGTAATCTCCGATACACAAAAACAACCGACATTCGCCACTAAGTGGCTGTGACGTCACCACGCCGTTTGTGCCAGGCTATGTGCATGGCATGTTAAGGCCACATGAAGTGCCGAACGCCTGCTGGCAGGTCACGGGACAGACCCAGGTGCCATGGGTTGACTGAGATGACTGGCCGATGCACCACCTTGTGCCCCTACTGTGCAAACTATAAACACACACATACACATGTTCGCCCTCAAAGTCTGGAAATTACAAATTAAATGGAATAAAATTACCACGGACTTTCTCTCTCAAAAAGCGTGGTTTTCATTTGTGTTGTTACTATGAGCATGGGCATCACCCACAAGCCCAGATGAGATTTTACTTTTGGGTACCACCTGAGGTGGCATCACTTGATTGATGTCATTATGTGGCCAATAACAGTGAATTATTTGATAACCATTTAAAATGAGTGGGGATATTAAGTAATTCACTCTTATTTGGCCATATTAAGTTTTGCCACCATAGGTGGTATGCATTTCCTCGCCAGAACTCTCCATAGACCACATCCACGCTCTGGGCAACAACATGGGAGTGGCGTCCTTCAGGAAACATTATTACCCCACAACATTGTGTAGGTCCACAGCTGCTTGTACTAGTTTTGCAGAGCTGGTTACTTGCGGCTAGGCTGCTGAACCTCAGGTATTCACAATGAACTCTGCATCTACACAAGTCTCTCCTCTATTAGGCTTTGGCATGAACACACCATGTTATGATTCACATTAGTACCCTGTACTATTCTCCCATATACTATGAACGTAATTTTAAATCACACAACAAGTTGACAGAGTGCACCCTGAGCTCACGCTCCTAATAGACCATAGCATGTTCAGCAGTCCGACTCCACCACTGGAAGGCCGTCACGCCATGGCACAGGTCATCATGTTACAGCATATGCCATCACAACATCGCATCCCAAGGCATCACGTTTCAGCGCAGTAAGGCTGTCAATACACAGCAGGGCCAAGCATTGGCCCGCGGAAGGGGTTACAGCTCCCGTAGCGTACGCAGCCACACACGGACAGGAAGAGTAAAACCTCTAAAATGAACTTGATCAGAGCGAGCACTCGGACTGGGCCACGTATTCACACAAAAATGGCATCTGAGACGAGCGACCGGAGTGAGGTGCTACCGCCTCACGCCGCCCTCCTTACCGTGCGCACGACGTCGCCACCAAAGCAGGAGAGGGCTGAGATCACCTTGAAGGGCTTGCGATCCACGGGGCACGAGTTGACATTCTGCAGAACAGGGTGTGTGCACGCGCACACGATCGTCAGCGCTCCTCGATAAACGCATTGTGTGGGTGCCTGTGACTGGACCATAACACGCACGGATCCTGACAAAAAACTACAACTACAGCATCTAATACTAACCGTAATGACTGTCAATCTTGAGCCGAACCTTGGGCCAGAACATTCATAGAAAGATCACCTGTAATCCTAAACCCATTGCTAAATAAACCCCAAATCCCTGTTGTAAACCATAACAATGATGTTAGCCTACCATTATCTGAAACAAATCCTAATTATAGCCCCAATACCCTAATTCCTTATGAAATCTTGACATTGTTGAAATTCTATCCAAAAACTCAATGACATAGTGCTTACTGTTTTACACCCAAAGTAGTAAATACTGCAAAGTATAAGGCGCCATCCATAAATGACGTCACGCACCTAGGGGGAGGAGGGGGGTCAGACATTTATGACGATGTGTGACGAGGGGGGAGGGGGGGGTTTGAGAAATGTGATGTCACAAAATGCGCAACTTTAAATAAACTTAATTAAATAGAATTGTTATAACACTTATTTTGATACATGTTCATTATTAACTATTTGATTATTTAAATGTATTCCATGAAGGAGCATTTGCTTCTCCATGGGAGAATGGAGAAGCATATATTTTGAATATCTTTTTAATGATTGTTATTAAATATTTTGATTCTAATGATTCTACCAGGGTTTTTCATTCTGTGGAATGAATATGCGATTGTTATAATTGTATTCTCCATTTTTCTTCGTTCTACTACAAAGTTTCAAGTATTTTTTTATAGTTATAATTACTTTTAATATTTTATAATTATAAGAGAATTTCAATATAATATTCTGAACATATGCAGTTTTAGTTAAACGTTGAATAATTTCAAGTGAATGTTATGCTAGATTTCAGCTTTCCAACGCCTCCTTTTTAATACATGTTCTCTCCTACAACATCAGAGTGCAGTGCCACCTTAAATACGCACTACAATGACAATATCTTAAAGTGATTTGAAGCAAGTTTTATTTTCAATATGGAAATATGGTTTGGGGGGGGGGCAGAGCTTTGTGACGTCATATTTGAGGGGGGTCTGACTTTTTGTGACGCCGTGTGACGAGGGGGGGAGGGGGGGTCAAAAATTGGCCAAAATCCTGTGGTGTCATTTATGGACGGCCCCTAAGAGATATTATGTACTGTAGACCTGTCCATCCCCATTCAAGACACGAGTCTCCACGTATGTATGCAGAACTTCTATCACACCGTACATAGCTAAACGTGCCAACCAGAGCTATCTGTCCTGTCTGTCACCATGTGCCTTCTGTCTGTCCCATGTGAGACCTGCCTCTCCCCATGTGAGACGTCCGTTCTATTTGTCCCAACTTGAGACCTGTCCCCCCCTTTGTAGGCACACATCCCCCCCGACAACCTTGGCCCACTCAAGCAGGCAGTCGAGGCAGAATGCGTGCTGGCAGCTCTCGGGGATGCCCACGGCCTGCACACGGAATCCGTTTAGGCAGATGGGGCAGCTGTCGCCCTCCTCATCTGAGGAGAGGCCACCGGGGCGGGGGGAGCCGCCGGCCCCAGGCGAGGAGAGCGCCGACTGTGCCGTTGAGAGCGATGTTTGGCACCTGCTGCCTGCACCGCACACAAGGCAACGCGAGCACTTTAACCAAGTGTGGAGCAGTGTGCCAGTAGCTTTTCAGTTGCCCCGAATCCGTTGGAGTGCCGCGGTGGTGAGATGCTAACTACCTCGCCTGGTATACAGGAGGTCGTGGGTCAGATCCCGACCCTGATGTCTGTATATTTGGAGTTTACATGTTCTCCCCGTAGTTGCGTGGATTTTACTCCGGGTCCTCCGGTTTTCCCCTCCACATTCAGAAACATGCGTTAAGAGTATTTGGCCACTATAAATTTCCACGTGATAAGCGACTTCGTTGAGCTATCATTTGTGGCCAGGTCGCTTCTTAAAAATAGCTATATAGCTAAGCCTTACCTGGTAAAATAAAAAAAGTTCAGTAATTTAGTTTAGAATCTCCGACACCAGGTTCCATTTCCGAGCACGCACAACACCAGAAGCAACTCGTGTCGGCAGGTGGCCTTGGCTCCTCGTGGGCGACAGAGCTCAACTGGTAGATATTCTTAGCTGGGTATGCCTCCCACCATCTATTCAAGTGTCTTACTAGCTGCGTTAATGTGCACGATAACAGCACTTAGCGACAACACAACACGGGCTAATCAGGAGGACCTCTGTAATTGTAAGAATGCTGTTAGATACTTAAAAAGACAATGTGGAAAAGCACTTCATTGAAATGAAGTAACAACTCGTAAAACAAATGTGCAGTATTCTGTTACTGGTAGGAACGAAGTGAACCAGCCTACTATAGATTATATTGTCCGTCCGTCCGATGTCCGATTAGGTGTAGCAACATCGCCCCCTACTGCAAACACTTGGCATGACCCTACAAAAACCTTTAGACTCAGTGAGGCTTTCCTGGCTAAACAAGTGTAACATTCCCTTATAATTCCCTGAGATAGCTTTTAATTAAAACATTTAAATTAAAATTGAACTCACAGTGGCCTAAAGCCTACAGCTAGGCCTAAGCCTAGAATTAGGCCTCAAACTCTCCCTTCGTATCGTACCCCCGCGTGTGTCAAAGGGAGTTAATGTTTAACAATGTTACATTCCCTGATGTTTTTAAATAGAAACATTTAAATTTAAAGCTTTCACATAAATAATAAAAACATTTCAACTACAAATTAACTCACAGCGGCCTAAAGCCTACAGCTAGGCCTAAAGCCTAGAACTAGGCCTCAAACTCTCCCTTCGTATCGTACCCCGGCGTGTGTGAAAGGGAGTTAATGTTTAACAATGTTACATTCCCTGATGTTTTTAAATAGAAACATTTATATTTAAAGCTTTTACATTAATAATTTAAACATTTTAATAAAAAAATTAACTCACAGCGGCCTAAAGCCTACAGCTAGGCCTAAAGCCTAGAACTAGGCCTCAAACTCTCCCTTAGTATCGTCCGATTAGGTGTAGCAACATCGCCCCCTACTGCAAACACTTGGCAGGACCCTACAAAAACCTTTAGACTCAGTGAGGCTTTCCTGGCTAAACAAGTGTCATAATACATTATGTTTATATTCTTTGGTTATTCGTTCCTACCAGCCCACCCCGCAGGGACCTGTTTAACAGTCCGTGCAATTGTTAACGTTGCTAATATGACAGACGGCTCCAAGTTATGGAAAATCTAGGATAAAATTAAAAGTACGTCCAGGATGACCATTCAGTTCATTCACTTGCGATGTGTACCCCGATGACACTCTTTGCCCTGCACTGTAGCCAGCGGCTTCCGCTTTGTAAATGTGGGTGCACAAATCCCATTCACTCTCAAGGGGCTTTGCCACGTGCATAGAGAAGCTAATGTGGACAACCCGCTGCGCAGCTTTCATCATCATCAGCCATGACCTATCCGCTGTTGGATTATGGCCTCTCCAAATAATTACAGTCTCTTACGGTCTCAAGATGCAACAACACATGTTGCTTCTGCACACGAGCTGAATTCATCGCTCCATCACCGCATGGTCATACACTTCTCGGGTGTTCCCTCATTTGGCTACCACTCCGCTGTCAGTCTAAACCATCAGCCATCATCCCTTCTAGCGACGTGTCTTGGCCAAGCCCACTTAATTTTCTGAACAGTCAATTCACAAACTGCATTTTTTTATGTTCCGTCCCAGTGCAATTCAGAAAGTGCACCTCTCCATGACTATTTGTAAACTCTCAGGCTCTTGTTCAATTTTCATTTTCACTGTTTGTGCATCTGATCCACGTCACAAATATTTCTTCTTAAGGTTCTGAAGGCACTTTGCTATGTTGCGCTTCATTATTAACCCTTTCCCGTTCCAAGACGTCTGCAAGTTGCAGGGTGGGTCCCGATCACCGCCGAATCTTGGAACGTGTAAGCAGTTAGCACTAATTTTATTTATCGTGGCATAGTGCTGCTGTTATTAGAGACATTGTCCTGTACTCACCACTGACAACCGTAGCGACATGACCACACTCCATGATAGCTGGAGCCAGACTGTGCCCTGAGAACGATTGTTACAGGGTGCTTTATACATTTAAATTACTTATTACAAACCCTCCCACATGGTATTTTACTTTCGATTCCATTCGAAATCGATTCCATTCCATACAGAATTGATTCAGTTACGATGACATAAACCTACGTAAATGGAATGGAATCGGAAGAAAAACTGATGACATACGTGTACATCATCGGTACAGGCAAGGGTTAAGTTAAGTTTTCCAAATGCGCTCCAATCTGCTCTTGCTCGCCTGTCCACTTCGTTAATCGTTGCAATCACGGTGAAGCTCACCGCTGGAGTCGCACAGCGCCCAGTCATCCATGAGGAAGCAGTCCTCGTCATCGGAGCAGTCGTCGTCGTTGTCGTCGGAGCTCTCTGCAGAGCCTGCAGGAAGGGGAGGGAAGAGTGGAGGGGTAACATAGGTCCCAAAACCACAATAACCATAAATGTATATTTTAAATCCAGCAGAGCCACCAGACAACGCATTCGTTGGCAGACTGCAGTGAGTGGGCCTACTGTGGGGATCATGCTGCACTGGTTAGCTGGGCGGTGGTTGTTATCCACATGGTCTGTAATTCAGCACTGTGGAGGCCAGGGTTGGTGGATCGCACAAATGTTGTGATGCTTCCTTCCCGTGGATGTCGATATGCTATACCCTGACTCGACAGGAAAATGCGGTACAGTCAGTGGACGAATCTCGACCTGTTTATATCTTTACAGAGATGTAATGTTGCCCCTTGCGTGCGTGGGTTTTCCCCAGGTGCTCCGGTTTCCTCCAACTTACATTAAAAAAATACTCCTCAAATTGGCTAAAAACATCTTAAAATAAACACCCAATGTAGAACCCTCTTGATAAAGTTCTAGGAGTCAGCATGGCTTCACTAAATAAAGGTATTAATATTATTAAATCATTATTCATGTTAATGACATAAAGCATATCATTTTCAGCAAATAAAAGGCACATTAACATAATTTCCCTTGGTGGTTCCGAACCTTTTGTGTATTGTGTACCTGCTAACCCATCAATTGTCTGTGTACTCCTAAGAGCAAGTAGGTTTAATATATTAACAAGCCAGATGCTGCTTTAACTATTTGTAATATGTTAATAATTAAATATGATGACAGTCTTCTGAGAAAGGCAAGTGTTTAAAGTATACATAGAGGTAAAGAACGATGCAGCATCGCTTCATTCGTGTTTGCAATATTCCAGTGTCAAAATGCACCCAAAACACATTCACGAATTTAGACGAATGCCCACCTCATGTGTAAGTGGTCATTCTGACTGTCATAGTTGGCCTAGGAGAAACGGAGAAATTGCATATGGCCTCGTTCTATAAAGCTAAGGATACGGTGAAGCTGGAAGGATCCTGCTGTCTGGGTGATTTGGCATGGAATAACCCAACTAGACATCTGCAGCAAAGCCAACTCAGGCATTGCATATTCATTTGACTGCTGGATAGTTTGTCCCTTGCAAAGGCAAACAATATGTTACTGGGAAAGGCACTTAGCCACAGACACTCGTCTGAAGAACAAACACAGAGATGGGTAGTGCTATCCTATGTAAACTCTGCACTTTATGTATTGTGGAGCATTTTAAATGTGCCCTGCCTTCACTTTGCAATTAGATCAGAGATTGACATGTGAAACAACAAACACAGCAATGCAAAATATCTTGGAAAGTGATGTACACACTAGCTGCCCTGCAGATTTAATCCAACATTCGAAAAAGAAAAACTGCCCAATCACGTAAAAGGCTGAATTGAGGGGAACATGAATTACAGGCTGAGCACTGGCAACAACCCCAACCCACAACAAAACAACGGGATCAACTCTAGACCTTTCATCACCGATTCAGGACTGCCTATACACTCATATGGCAAGCCCCAGTCTCGACACAAAATCCATTGTGCACCTGTCGCGCTTTGAATTTCACATTCAGTTGAACCGATTTTAAACCAGGATATGTATAGGTGTTTTTGTTAATGTGCAGGTAATTGTCAAGCATGAAGGTTATGGGTTGGGGCCAGTGCTCGGCAGGCGGTGCACATTTCCCCAACCCCAAAGGAATGATGATTATGGACAATGAGGCGGAGCCGAACCCGAGTGGAAATTCAACTCATGTTGGAAGCCCTGCTTCTTTAACCCATGGTTAATCATGTGTACCAATCCTCCTACACAGCACAACTCCAGGGCGCCAGAACAAAGAGGTATTTGAGATAATACGAGTATTGCTCAGTAAGGAAGTGAATACAGTGTTTAGAAACTATTCAGTAGACACTATACACAAACGTTCCAGAGCAAGAACTGCCAGCAAATAAATTATATACACCTCCGATTAGCACGGTTGGCTATGTATAGTGTGAAAGAAGTTCAACATACATACATACATAGTAGAATAAACAAACACATAGTATCTATAACACCTGCACAGACACAGAAACGTGTCACAAGGTAGACCTGAAGCCAATACATAGACTTACATTGTTACATGTTCTCCACTCAGTCTGGTTGAATGAAGTTAATGTTTAAAATCCTGCTTCTGTTTGCCAATTTACTGAAAACATATTGTAACTATAACTAAAGATATTAAGCTTAACCATAATGATATTCGGATAAGTTTTGATGCGACTTCTCTGTTTACTAGGGTTCCATTGAACGAGTCAATAAAATTACTCAATACTCTGGTAACTAACACAGGTTTAGCCAAAAATATCCCACGACTAGCTGAGCACTGTCTAAAGAACACCTATTTCTTGTGGAAAGGTAATTTAAACAAACAAAAGGAAGAAGCAACAATAGGCTCTCCTTTTGTCTCCTGCGATTGTGAATTTGTACGTGGAAGACTTTAAAGCAAAAGCAAGAGCTTCAAGCACACTAAAACCCTCTGTTTGGTGTAGATATGTGGATGACACATTGGTGGTCTGGCCTCACGGTAACGACATACTTAATGAATTTCAAAATCATCTCAACTCAAAAAACCCGTCTAATCCAGTTCACCATGGAAGTGGCGGCTGATAGAACTCTCCCATTTCTGGATATTCTGCTCGAGCGCGGCCAAAATGGTAAAATAACACACAGCGTTTCCAGAAAGAAAACGCACACCGACACCTATCTGAATGCAGTCACACCATCATCGCGGACAGAAATCTTCTCTCATTAAGACACTCGTACATCGGGCTAAGAAAGTGTCAGATGGTGAAAGTCTGAGAAGTTAAATTAAACATGTTAAATAAGCTCTGCAATTGAACGGTTACAATGATACATAAATCAACAGAGCACTGAATGCCAAAACCAAATAAAATAGCACAAACGTTGATACTGATCAAGCAATTCAAACTATTAAAATACTGTATATTGCGGGAGTAATTGATAAACTAGACATTTTGAAAGAAAAAAACACATCAGAGTGAAATTTTGCACAGTACATAAAATACAAAAACGAATATCTGGTACTAAAACGATTAACAGAAGGTGTGTACCGATTACTCCTGTGGTAAATGCTATGTTGGTCAGATGGGATGAATGATCAGCATGAGACTAAAGGAACACCAAAATAATTGTAATACTCACAAACACAACTGTTGGCAGTGGCAGAACACGCGTGCCAACAAGGATACACAATTGATTTCGATGTAAAAGTTTTGTGCAAAACTAGTTACTACTGGCCACGACCGATTCGAGAATGTATTTAAATTTGGAGAAAGAATTTTTTTTTTAACCCTTCTGATAGCTACAGACTTAGCATATTATCATGTAATAGACCGTTTAACTGCATGGCTGTACAGGACACCATATGCCGATAGTGTGTAAGTGAGCAACCAATAACAAGTATTGTGATTTCTTGCACTCAACAAAACTTCAGGATGTACATGCATGGTGTGTGCATAATATATGTACGTTGTGCATGCAGATTATGTATGATGATTAACGTATGAATAACCCAACTGGTAATGGGGGTATCCATTGTAATTTATATGCATACATTAACCACCCCCCCTCCCCTCTGGTCTTCGCACATGATTGACTCACAAGTGACAACATCACGTTATCTCTCGATTCAAGATCGAAACAAGAGGGTTTCTCCACAACTCTAGCTGTCACCTGATGATGCTGGTTGCAATTACTGGCGAAACATCGTACTCAAACTGTAAATGTTGTGGGTTTACTCTCCAACACACCAGTGTGCTGAACTAGTAACGAATTGTTTATGTAGAAAACCTTAATAATTAGCTGTGTCGGTTTAACGACACATTTATATTTACGTGATCTAACCAAAAACCTCTTATGGTTATACTGCGGAGACTTAAGCAAAATAAGCTCTGAAGTGGACATTAAAATACTCTGCCACAATCAATGCAAGAGAAGACTGTGTGCCTTAGCAGCTCAACCTACATGCTTGATAATTACCTACACATTAGCAAAACACCATACATCTCCCTGGAAAAATTGAGCTGTAGACTGGTTTAAAATCGGTTAAACTGAATTTGTGAAATCATGGCCGGGCGGAGCTAAGGAAGGTTTAACAAAGTCAATGATACGGCAAAGAGAATGCATCCTCAGGCTTAAATATGAGGGGTTAATGAAACCAGAGGCGTGCGTTTGTGAGGACGCGAAGTATTTCCAAGACGTTGTCTATTCTTATAACGTATAAAGTGCATTACAATGGTAACAAACTTCAAAGGGATAGTCTGGGGCACAAATATCAATGTACAGGTCAGAAGAAAATGCAGATAACATGCAACATTTATGATAAAAAGCAAAACTATAGTGGCAGAATTTCATACGCAAATATCTAAAAGGAAGAGCTGATCCAACTAAGTGCACATTATGTTTGAACGGCCTTACAGGATCCTTCAAGCTCAAATGGCAGACAATTTAATGTATTGTAAAAATCAGGTTTTACGTGTCAAATTATGGCGTCCGGCTTGTATGCAAGGAGCCATCACGTCCATGTGTAAGCTCAGAGAATGCGTTACATAACCACACAATGCACTGCTGCATACACGCCGTGGGAAAGCGGTGCAGATGCTCAGGCTTTTTGCTCGAAGGCACACGGTGAGCAAGTGTTCAGAGTATGGTCATGACAGTGGGTACGTTTTGAGGTTGGCGGGACACCTTAACATGTATCTACGTCCCAGCTACCGTAACGGCAAGGCCATGTGTGCAATCTTTTGGAAAAATACCGTGATGTATTGCTTGCTTCCAACTCAGATGTTACCCCTTCATGAGAACCAGTTATCACATCAGTGACGTCATGAATTCAAGCTGGTGGCAACATGCACCTCGGGAATTACACTCAACAAAGAGCGCTGTTATATTTGAATGCCGAGAACGATTCTTGAAACGGTCTCCTCCTTCAAGGTCATCGTGCGAAAAGATAATGGAATCATGGCTTCTGCCATTGCAAGTACTGTGCCCAACGCGTTTTGTTCCAAATAATGTGTTGCTGTTTTAATGTTTTTTAGTTTATTTTTAATCCAGAGATTAGTGAGTAAAAAAATAACAACCCTATTGCTATAATCTAGCAAGGAAACGTTCAAGTGTGCTCCCCTGATACAAACATTTAAATATGCCTTTAATTGGACTCCTTACTTACAGATGCACAAGTGAATAGGAAGTGTGTGAAGGGACGTAATATTGGCTGTAAAGCTGCGAGCAGCAACAAGCAGCCTACACAGAACAGTGCAGAGCAGTGCGCGCATCTTACTCTGGCTGTGAGGAATGCTGTCGTCACGGTCGCCCTGCTCCGAGTGACTCTCGTCTTCATCCATGGTTGAGCCAGGTGAGGGGGACAAGGCTGCATCCCCACACACAGTGCAGAGCCGCTTCACCCAGACCTCCACAAGCAGTGACCACTAACACAATTCACAAGCAGTGACCACACACACTCACACCACAATTCACAAGCAGTGACCCCACACGCTCACCACAATTCACAAGCAGTGACTACTCACACACACGCATCACAATCCACAAGCAGTGACCACACACTCACACCACAATTCACAAGCAGTGACCACACACACTCACACCACAATTCACAAGCAGTGACCACACACACTCACACCACAATTCACAAGCAGTGACCACACACCACAATTCACACAGCCATGCCACCCACACAAGAAGTTTCTATTAAAGCCACATTTTTCTGAAAAGGGCTGGAAAGTAAAACGCAAGTGCAGTACATCTAGAACCAGAATAAGCAAATCTGGCTGTGTCAACCAAAAAAAATAGTATTAATTGCTCAACTCGTTTTCAGGATAAATGATTTATTGCACAGCAATCATTAAGTCCAAAGGCACTCGAGATTGCTTTCGTCCACCGCTTTCATCAATACGGTCCACCTTCAATAATTTCCTTAAGTTTAAGAGGGGGGCCTTGGTTTAAGGGGAGACATACGTCGGTGTAAGGGGACAGGGACCCTGGCAGTGGAAGACAGACCTACGCTTAGGGGGGAGATAGACCCTGGTTCAAGGGGACAGGGACCCTGGTTTATGGAGAGGGACCCTGATTAAGGGGAGAGGGACCTTGATTTATAAAGCGGGACCCTGGTTAAGGGGACAGAGACCCTGGTTCAAGGGGACAGGGACCCTGGTTAAGGGGACAGGCACCCTGGTTAAGGGGACAGGGACCCTGGTTAAGGGGACAGGCACCCTGGTTAAGGGGACAGGGACCCTGGTTAAGGGGACAGGCACCCTGGTTAAGGGGACAGGGACCCTGGTTAAGGGGACAGGGACCCTGGTTAAGGGGACAGGGACCCTGGTTAAGGGGACAGGGACCCTGGTTAAGGGGACAGGGACCCTGGTTAAGGGGACAGGGACCCTGGTTAAGAGGACAGGGACCCTGATTTAAGGGGACAAGAACCCTGGTTTAAGGGGACAGGAACCGTGGTTTAAGGGGACAGGTACCCTGGTTTAAGGGGATAGGGATCGTGGTTTAGGGGTACAGGGACTACGTCTGTAACACGACACCAACACGGGCGCACACGCCGCTCCTAATTGACCACTCTGCACCACGTGACGACTATCCTTGAACACCATTGGAGAAGAGCGAAGCACGGCCCAATGGAGCGCGGAGGCTGAGCAGAAACGAGGCCTCGGGAGAGGAGCAGAGGGCTCCCTCCGCTCTCCCCTCTGCCTCCCGATCCGACACTGCCCGCTCTTCCCTCCTCCTCTCCCTTTGCCCCATCCCTCTCCCTCCTCTCTCCGACTCGTCCCGGCACCCCCCGAGGTCGCGATTTCTCGCTCTTTAAAGCGGCGAAACCGCAACTCGCGTCACCACTCACCTCATGCACAATCCCTCACGCCGCGCGGAGCTGTCACGCGGAGCTCTCACGCCGCGTGGAGCTCTCACGCCGCCTCTCACAGGCCGGAGACTCACGGGCCGGAGACTCACGGGCCGGATACTCACAGGCCGGGCGATGTCGCCCGTGCGCCGCGCGCCGCGCGCTTTATTCACTCGGCGACTGCTGCCCTCAGCTCGGCGCCATGACACGCGTGACGTCACGAGGCGGGGGAGGGGTGGGGCTCGCGGGGGAGGGGAGGGGCTAGCGGGGGAGGGAGACCGCGAGGGTGGTGGGGCGAGGGTGGTGGGGCGGGGGTGGTCAGGGCGTGCAGAGGTCGAGGGGGTGAGGGCGAGAAAGGGGAGGAGGGGCTAGTGGGGGAGTACAGGAGTAGTAGGGGAGGGGCTAGTGGGGGAGTACAGGAGTAGTAGGGGAGGGGCTGGAGGGGGAGTGCAGGGTTAGTAGGGGAGGGGCTAGTGGGGGAGTACAGGAGTAGTAGGGGAGGGGCTGGAGGGGGAGTGCAGGGTTAGTAGGGGAGGGGCTGGTGGGGGAGTACAGGGGTAGTGGGGGAGGGGCTAGTGGGGGAGTACAGGAGTAGTAGGGGAGGGGCTGGAGGGGGAGTGCAGGGTTAGTAGGGGAGGGGCTAGTGGGGGAGTACAGGAGTAGTAGGGGAGGGGCTGGAGGGGGAGTGCAGGGTTAGTAGGGGAGGGGCTGGTGGGGGAGTACAGGGGTAGTGGGGGAGGGGCTAGTGGGGGAGTACAGGAGTAGTAGGGGAGGGGCTGGAGGGGGAGTGCAGGGTTAGTAGGGGAGGGGCTGGTGGGGGAGTACAGGGGTAGTGGGGGAGGGGCTAGTGGGGGAGTACAGGAGTAGTGGGGGAGGGGCTGGAGGGGGAGTGCAGGGTTAGTAGGGGAGGGGCTAGTGGGGGAGTACAGGAGTAGTAGGGGAGGGGCTGGAGGGGGAGTGCAGGGTTAGTAGGGGAGGGGCTGGTGGGGGAGTACAGGGGTAGTGGGGGAGGGGCTGGTGGGGGAGTGCAGGAGTAGTGGGGGAGGGGCTGGTGGGGGAGTACAGGGTTAGTAGGGGAGGGGCTGGTGGGGGAGTACAGGGGTAGTGGGGGAGGGGCTGGTGGGGTAGTGCAGGAGTAGTGGGGGAGGGGCTGGTGGGGGAGTGCAGGGGTAGTGGGGGAGGGGCTGGTGGAGGAGTACAGGGCTAGTGGGGGGAGGGGCTGGTGGGGGGGTGCAGGGGTAGTGGGGGAGGGGTAGTGGGGGAGGGGCTGGTGGGGGTGTGCAGGGGTAGTGGGGGAGGGGCTGGTGGGGGAGTGCAGGGGTAGTGGGGGAGGGGCTGCTGGGGGGGTGCAGGGGTAGTGGGGGAGGGGCTGGTGGGGGAGTGCAGGGGTAGTGGGGGAGGGGCTGGTGGGGGTGTGCAGGGGTAGTGGGGGAGGGGCTGGTGGGGGTGTGCAGGGGTAGTGGGGGAGGGGCTGGTGGGGGTGTGCAGGGGTAGTGGGGGAGGGGCTGGTGGGGGTGTGCAGGGGTAGTGGGGGAGGGGCTGCTGGGGGTGCAGGGGTAGTGGGGGAGGGGCTGCTGGGGGAGTGTAGAGGGGGAGAGTGAGGAGACGGTTTAGGGCAGGGGTCGGCAACCTACGGCTCCGGAGCCGCATGCGGCTCTTTACGGGCTGCTTCTTGACGATATGTACGTATGTACAGTATGTACTCAGATGCATTGCGGCTCTTGAAATACTGAATTTTGTACCGAATTGGAAAGAAATGGCTCTTCTTGTTATTTTGGTTGCCGACCCCTGGTTTAGGGGGTCAGAGGGGAGGAGGTGGCGAGACTCTGGCCCCCGTCAGGGGCTTAATCAGGAGGTGGTGAACATTCTCCTGACCGAGGGCCCAATAGAACTTTCACATCTCTTTGTCGGGGACAAAGACAAATATCCCCGGTATAGCCTTTACAGACTGTTGGGGTAAGTGCTGTTGGCCACCAACAAGCCCAGCCGCATTTGTCTCCCCAGTGCGATATTTACAAACCGCACGAGATACTCATTTGAGACTGAGTCGACCAAGGGGAGGCCCAAGACCAGTTCAAATAATCGCTGTCACTGGTGCTGGCCGTGAGCTGGTCCCGGTGTTCGTAGGGCAGCGCGCTAACTGCAACACGAGCGCTCCCCAGCCACGCATTCACACAACTCGGCGTTATCACAGTACAGTACAACTAATAACGGAAACCCCACCGGTGGGGGAGAGGGGGCTCCCTTCACCGCATTAACAGAAGAGACTGAACGACGCCACGTCGGCATTCAGAATAAGAATATGTATTTATACTGGAGGAATCCGATGAGCTATGAAGCTCTTTTTCACAGATGTCAAAACTTGACAACAACTAATAATACAAAAAAACACGATAGGAGTGCAAATTATAAGCAAGATAAATAAATCACTTTAAAAATATTTACGAATAAAACTGAACTTTTTTTTCATCTTACTAGGGAAGGCCCACTGAGCCATTCATTAGCTTCTTCAGAAGCGACCTGGCCGCAAACATTACTCCCTCTAGGACCCGATGAGTGTGACGAGGACGCTTCCTGTAGTGATGGTCAAATCTTGTTTGCGGACCACGTCAAGATAGTGCCTCTTACGTGGCCACGGGCCCCACGAAATGAAGAAGCGACTCACAGGTCATGGTATGCAGGGGATTAATTACTTATTTCAACGGGGGCATTTCAAGATATCGACTGTGGGCCCCCCTCCTGTCTCCCGACTCACTTTTACTGAAATAGTTACGGATGTTTTTAACCAGTATACAATAATAGGGAAGCTATAACTCTTATCTATTTTTTGGAATTACATTTCTTAAAAGGTTTTACTTGTCTCGCTGTTGATTTTGGGCCCCGCTGTGGCCGATTGGGCCCCTATGCATCCTATAACTCTGCATACTACATAGCTGCGTCTCTGCACGCACGCATTCATTTAGGTGACCTGGGTCACTCTTGCGAATGAGACAACGTAACTGTCGTGTGCTCCCTCGAGTTATCGCCTGGTTACACCCAACAAACTTGAAACCCAGACTGGCCAGCAGAGGGCAGTGACCGACATCGTTTGGAGCTGTGTGGCCTCGAGGCTGAACTATGTGGAGTGAAGGGGACACTGCCAGGTGTTGGAGGTCGGCTCCTTGGCTCCATGACTCTCTTCTTCAACCGAATCATTCGCGTCGTTGTGGAGAATATAACAAAATAGTCAAGTAAGAAAATCTGTCTCTATAAATTTGTCTCTCCACATAAAACGTTTAACATTTATTACACAACTCATTTCCCCAACGGCTTTCTAGGAGGGCATAATTTAGGAGCATCAATTCGGTAATAGCAAACTCTGGGTCGGTTTCGACAATCTGGTAGCATCGCATCCTCTATCTTTAGTTATTGTCGTGATCATTTTTAATTTCCCCCCATTGGGTGTATATCATCAGCCATTGTCAATCCACTGCTGGATGAATACCTCCCCAAGTAGTCTGCATTTCTTACGATCCTGCGATGTAATGATCCACATAGCATCTGCACATGAATCGATGTCATTGCTCTGTCTCTTTGGTGGATGTCCTCCTTGAACGTGTTCCGTGTCTTGGCGACCACTCTCTGATTAATTCTGATTGCCGGCCACCATCCCTTCTCGCAGTGATGTCTTCTGCCCGGACCCACTTCGTTATATGGACGGATTGAACGTCACTGAGCGTGTATTACCTCTAATCCCTGTGCTTCTCTTTTCGTCTCAGTGTAATTGTAAGAATGCATCTTCCAACGCTTCTTTGTGCACTATAAATTATTTTACTTTATTTTTAGGAAATGGTTACGGTGTTTCTGAACCGTCTGCCATAACAGGCAGCACGGACTGATTAGAAACTTGCTTCGTTTGCCACTTTGTTGTGTTTACTTATCATTATCAAGTTCAGCTGTCCCGAAGCACTCTATCCTGGTCTCGTATGCCTCTTTATTTCGTCACTATGATCCCAGGCCGCCTTCAATATCTGTCCCAGGTTCACACAACTGATCTGTGTTCCTATTGCTGCTGCCCTGGCACCGCCCAACGGAAGATTTGAGTCACCAGCCAGGCCCAGGACAATGTCGCTCCAGATGACCTCATGGGCATTGTTTTTCCCTACGCAACTCTTGGGGGCATGTGTTCTCCGATGTAACCCTGTTGACATTCATTTTTCAATGTTACTCAATTCCCAGCCACAGCTCGCATCAGTCTCACGTGGTTATAGGAACTTGTCTTGCGCCTCTTGACTCAGCTTGCTGGGTATGATTCTGGCCACACCACCCCATTCTTAATAGGTGCTCGCAAACAGCTATGAGGGCTGCGTCTATGTGCGTATGTGTGGGCTGCGTGAAACGGACATTGCCAAAGTCTGTGTGTGTGTGAGGCGAGTCTGTGTGTGTCCGCCGTAGTTGACCCCTTCCCGCCACAGCAAAGGCTGTCGCGCCTCCGCGTTGTTCTTCCACTCCGCGTTGGTCGAGTGGCCCTGGTGGGGAAACCTCGGACGCACCGCTCGATGTTCCACCGAGCCATCTGCACCGCTCTTAGCTCTGCCCGCTGCCGCCACAAACGGAGCCACCCAGTCACCTCACCTGCCCTCGTAACGCACTAAAAAATATATTGTTGTTCCATTTCGCGAGTATTTCGTTGACCGTGAGGCTTTGCGAGGGAGTGGCGGTAACGAGCCTTGCGTTGGGTGTGGCTGTGCTTTGTGACTTTTAATAGAATGTGCCGTGACTCACGCTCGGCTCGAAGGTGAGACAGGTGTTTTTCGCGAGCTCTTGCTACCAACCCTCCGTTGCCATTTGGTACATATATCTGCTTCTCTCCGCGCACTGGACAGAACCACTTAAGCCGCAGGCTTTGCTGACACATTTTTCAAGTGTGTTCTGTCCAGCAACATGTTCATGACATTTCTATTTATGGCTCAATGCCCAGTACTGGGGCAAAGACCCGTTTCACCACTTTGGCGTACAGGTAATGAATGCGCTGCAGAGTTCCACATCAGAGAGATATCTGTGTCGAGCGAAGCCCCGTGGCAGCTGCTCACCTGTGAGAGTGGCCCTCATAAGCGCGGATCGGCGTTGTAACTTCCCTTCTTGTAAACCAGCTTACATTACGATAGATCAGCTGTGGCTCAGCAGTTAGCGCACTGCACTATTCATCTGGCGGCTTTTATTACCGGTAACAGGTA